AAGGGAGGAAGCGAGGGAGGGAGGGAGGGAGGGAGGGAGAGAGAAAAAGAAAAAAAAATGAGGACAGAAGAGTTCCTTAGTCCAAATCGGGTTCCAGGGGGCTGAGGAGCCCGGTGTCTGAAGGTGGGATGCTGGAGCCAGTAGAGGCTGATTTCTGAGCAGGGAAGCCCCTCTGTCCTGGGCGAGCTGTGACTGGGTCGCCCTGTCTGCGTTCTGGATCCGCAGCTTCCCAATTCTCAAAGCTCGTGAAGCTCTAAGCTCCAGAAGCCACTCACCTGGCAGGGAAGCGGCCAGCTGAGAACCCCTCCAAATGGCCCTGGGGAAGGGTCTGTCAGGGAGCACAATCCTGCTTATTGTCCTCGGCTGGGGACTCAGGCATTGTTTTGGTCTCACGCCACCACTGCAGGTGCTGGAAGTGAGGTCTGGCCGTTCCTGGGAAGTGCCAGGAGGGATGGTCCCTCCAAGCCCTGGCTGGGAGGAACCCCTTCCCGTGAGAGCCGGCCAAGAAGCCCTGGGTCGCAGCCTCGGGACAGTGCCTGGCCCTCAGCACACCCTCCCCGAGGCCCGTTTCTTCCTCTCTCCCCTCCTCATCCCCACACCTGGCCCTCGCCAGGCTTCGGTGGACAAGGCATGCCTCTCTGTTCCCAGGAAGGCCTGGAGCAGCGTGGAAGATCTGAGTATTTCCAATAACTGGTGTCAGCCCGAGGCCAACCACTCATCCTGCCCGGACCCTGCTGGCTGTGTGACCTCAAACCCCCAGAGCCCCTCCGTCTTCACGTATCCTGAGGGCCACCACAGGTTGTGTGCTGCCGTGGGAAGCTCTGTCCAAGCGCTCACGTGCATTGACGTGGGGTGTGATCCCGCTGAGCCTACGAGGCGTCCTTATCATTACTGGGGCTTCGTCACCATTATCGCCCTCTTGCTGCCATTCTCTGTCAACAGACAGGCAGGCCGAGGGCCAGGGAGGTTAAATGTCTTGCCCCAAGTCACTCAGGTGGGAAGTAGCAGAGCCAGACTGCCGCCCAGGCCAGGGCTGCCACCCAGAGCCAGCGATCTGTGCACCGTTCCAGACTGGTGATAAGAATGAGAAAGAAAAGCATGACTGTAAAGACTGAACAGGCAACGGGCTTCAAGCCGGCTGGCCCACCGTCCACCGTCGTGCCGGCAGATGTCAGTTAAGACAAGCACCACCACCATCGTCTTCGCCGTCACCATCACCATGACGGAAAGTTTTCAAGGGACCGCCAGTGCTAACCCAGTGGTCCTCAACATGCAGTCTCAGGTTGTCAGGAATGCAGATTCTCTAGCTCCACGCCAGGCCCGCTGAGTCATGCACGCTGGTGGCGGGGCCCAGGACTCCACGGGGGCCAGCCCTGGGGTAGGAGGTGGGATTCTGGTACGCGCACAAAGGTGGGGACGTATCTGGGCACCGAGCAAGACAGGGAAGACGGAAGCGAAGACTGAGACTCGAGGGAACGTGGGGCTTGCCCTATGTCCCGCAGCTGGCAAGCATCAGAGCAGGGCTTTGCGCCCTGGGCCACACCCCAAACTCCTGGCTGCAGCTTGCCACAAAGTCGGGTCTGCCAGGAAATGCGTTCCTGGTGCACAGGCAAGAGCTGTGGGCGCGATCAGGCCCTTCGAAGGTCTGGAGACAACGCTCTCAAAATAAATCTCTTAGCTAAACAGGCATTTTCCAAAAGACATCATCATTTCCCAGAATACAGGGTGACCTAGAAACTAGGGCCAGAAAAATAACCTCTGAAACGGAGACGACTTTCCTCCTTCCCTCTCTCCCTCCTTCCCTCTGCCCTCCTTTGTTCGCTCTTTCTTCCTTCTTTCTTTTTTTCTTTTTTGAAGACATGTTTTAGCCTTGACTACTGGAGTATCTTCATTTATTTATTCCTTCAACAAACACGGATTGAGCAATGACGGTGTGCCACGCCGGGTCACGAGCACTGTGGTTCCCAAAGCTCAAAGCCCCAGTGAGGATGTTAACTAATGACTGCATGTGGGTTTTTACCCCCACACCTGTTCATAGCTGTGTAATTACAAACAATGCAGAACGGAGCAGGGGAAACACAGAGTCTAAAGCCAGGCACACCTTCCTGTGCATCTCACCCTTGCCATGCTGTGTGGTTTTGGACAGATTATTTTGAACCTTGTTTTCCTCCTATGTAAAATAGGAACAAGGATACCTAGAGATGATGTTTTTAAAGAGCCTGAAACAGTGGATGCTGAATACAAGATAGCTTTATATTATTATATTATATTACTACCAAATAGTCATCAGGTTCTTGCATCTCTAAGTTGTTGTTGTTTTCGCTTTATAGATTTAGCTGCCATGTTACTTGTTGCATACAGATTTGATTTTCATATCTTCTTCATAAATTGCACCTTTTGTGCCATTGCACAATGAATTGCTTTGTCCCATTCAATACATTTAACTTTAAATTTCACTTTATTAAATTTCACTTTATTAAATTTCAATTTATCAGAGAGTGATATTGTCATTCCTGCTTTGTATGTATTTGATTGTATTTGATGGGAATAGTTCTGTCCATTCTTTTATTTTTAAATCATTTAAAAATCCAAATCCCTGTCGTTTAAAAGCAGAATCTGGTTCAAACATTTAGTGTAACAATCAACACACATTATTTTACTCCATAAAAATTCTAACTCTTAGAACTCAATTTTAACTGAATAGCTTTCAAGAGGAAAAAAGACTCAAAGAGGAAAGAAAAAAAGATAGGGGGGAAGCTTAGTCACGAAGGTTGTGCTGACCTTACAGAACTCAGTGACCTCATATTTGCAGGCATCTGGGACACAGGGAGACAGATGGAGACAAAGATGGGGGTGGGGTGAGGGAGGGCAAGAGCCACAGATGGGAAAGTAAGAGGAGGATGTCAGCTGGGGTGGACAATGCCCTTCCGACCACGGGGCCTTATGCTTTATTTTTTGTTATTTTTTATTTTAGCTTCGGGCTGGAGTTTGTTTGTCACATGGGCATACTCTGTCTTGGTGGGGGCTGGGATTCTGGTGTGCCTTTCACCCATGATTGAACATTGCACTCAGGAGAGTTCAATCTAGCAGGTTCCCTGGACAAGATAATCCCGGCTCTTGGCCATCCCGGAGAGGAAAATAGCTCAGTAAAATCCCACAGCCCATTGGCAACAGAGCAGGGACCACATTCGCCACCTCTGGGTCACTGCACCCCAAGCCCCCGGTGACTCGAAGGGACACACTAAGTTTTGAAGGATTCACCTCAGAAATCCAGGCCCATGAATCCTCAACTAAAGTTAGGAGGGAGAAACAGAAGAAGAGACTCCAGTGAACAGGAATGTATTCACAAGAAGTAAGTCAGGGCGACTTGCATTTTTGGCTGTGGGCTCCCAGTGACACGGGTGCCCAGACGAATAGAAACGCAATGAGCAGGGTGGACCAGCTGCTATGAAGGCAACCGGAGGGCCGGGAAGATTCTTACGCATCTGGGAAAGGCGGTATGTGGAGCAGGAAAGCCTTAGTCTATGAGAACATCCGGGTAAGATGAGGCACACCCACACATGCACTGGAGAGGTGGAGGCACTGGGGCAACAGCTGCACAAACAGGGCTCTCGGTGAACGAGAGGTGGTGGGACAGTGTCAAGTGTCCGGACATTGGAGCTCAGCTTCCAAGATCTTACCAAGCCCTGAGGGGGGTCTTGAAAAGGCCAGCATACTCACATCCGCATAGATGTTGGTCCCAAACACGGGAGCCCAGTAGGACGGCTCGTCTCTGCAGTGTGCTGGACAGCGGACTCTGAAACACAAGACGAGCTGATGTGACAGGTGTGCTGAGCAATATCACTCTCCGGCAAAGTGAAAGTTAAAGTTAAATGTTTTGAATGGGACCAAGCAATCCATTATGCAATGGCACATAAGGTACAATTTATGAAGAAAATATGAAAATCAAATCTGTATGCAACAAGCAACGTAGCAGCTAAACGTATAAAGCAAAAAAACAAATACATACATTTAGCGATGGAAGAACCTGATGACTACTTAGTAGCAATATAATATAATAATCTAAAGATAACTTGTATTCACTAGTCACTATGTTTCAGGCTCTTTAAAGACATCATCTCTAGGTATCCTTTTGGATTTGGCTGTCTGTATTCAAATTTCAAAGTTCTTAGATGAAAGGAAACTACCATACAGTCTTACTCTTTTGGAAAAACAGGCCATGCATGGTGGCTCATGCCTATAATCCCAGAGCTTTGGGAGGCCAAGGCAGGAGGATCACTTGAGCCCAGGAGTTAGAGACCTACCTGGGCAACATAGCGAGACCTTATCTCTAATATACTTATCTGAACCCCTGATCCTTGGGAGGCTGAGGCAGGAGGATCATGAGCCCAGGAATTCAAGGCTGTGGTAAGCTGTGATTGTACTACTGCGCCCCAGCCTGGGCAACAGAGTGAGATCCTGTCTCAAAAAATAAAAATAAAACTCTCTCATCCTAGCCATGATAAAGCTATTTTTACTCCTCTTCAACAGTGCATATAGAACTTAAATAACACAGGTATACCAAGGACATGACAAACAAAAGGGCAGAAAGGAACAGAAAACTAAGAGGGGTTTATGTGGAATTGTGAGCGGTGCCTCCCATGTCCTGGGTGTTGCCCCGTTCACACAGTGAGTACATTATGGAGATTACAATCAATCGACTTTCTTAAAGGCCATTTCCCTGTGTGGGGGAGGGAAGGGCGGAGGGCCCTCACCTCAGTGAGTCACAGAACATTCCAGGAAGGGTGCTGATAACCCGAGGTGGAAATGGTTAGATCACCCTGTGTCAGTCTCCCGACCCACCGAAACCCAAAGCCTGGGGCGAGGAAAGCGCTTCAAGCTGGGAACGGGTGGACCCCAGGTGGTTTGAGCAGTTCGAACCAGGAAAAGGCACGAGCTGCACTTAAGAAAAGTGTTTTCTGGATCCGGCCTCCATGGGTTGCAGCCCAGGGGCCAGGAAACCAAGATGGCGGCCGGAAGCCAAGAGGGCGGCCTCGGTGGAGGGAAGAGGGCCAGGAAAAGGGACTGAGCAACAGAAACGTTCCTAGGGGCAGGGAGGAAGGGCAAGGCGTGGGTGGGAGAGAGGGTGTGTGCGGATTAGAAAACGGACCGGGAGTCTAGAATGTTCTTTCTCCTTCTGGAATGGCAGGTCAGAAACTTGCACCTTGGATACTGGACTGTCAGGTTTCCCTTTTGGTTTGTACTTTCTGAAACCATTTCCTTCTGCTTCCCTTTAATCTTCTGGACAGTCTCCTAGAAGGCTGTTCCCTGCATTGGAACATTCAGGGGGGCTGAAGGAGGGGGCGCGAGGCCGTCAAAGCCCCAGAGAAAGCCCAGGGGAGGCAGGGGCAAAGGGAAGGAAGCCCGACCTTCCTCGCCTGGCGCCCTTCGGGGCTGCCCCCTCTCAGGCCTCAGGGCCTCACCCGCTGTTCCTCGGAGAACCCACAAGTCTCAGGCCCAAGATGCAGGCATGTGGGATGCCACGCCACCCAGTCCCAAGGAGCTGGCTTCGTCCTTGGGGTGTTTCAACCCAAGGTGCCCCACTAAACCTCTAATTTTTTATGTTTTTTGCACTGGGGGTCTCACGGTTGCCCACGCTGGAATACAGCGACGCGATCGAAGCTTACAGCCGCCTTGGCCTCCGGGACTCAGGCCATCCTCCCACATCAGCCTCCCCAAGTGTTGGGATGACAGGCGTGAGCCACCACACCTGGCCTCTGTCTCTGATTGTACAGTGGAGCCAAGTCCGGAAGCCTGCTCTGTTTGAAGGGCGGCTTAGCTGTCCAATGCCTCCCCTGAGGCTGGGAACATCCATAAAAGTGAGCACATTCCAGAGACATGAGGCCTTTTCTTTTTTTTTTTTTTTTTGAGTTGGAGTCTCACTCTGTCGCCCAGACTGGAGTGCAGTGGCCACTCCCGGCCACCGCAGCCTCGACCTGCTGGGCTGCGGCGATCCTTCCGCCTCAACCTTCCGAGTAGCTGGAACTACAGGCTCGCGCTACGACGCCCGGCTAGTTTTTGATTTATTGTAGAGATGAGGTCTCGCCAAGTTGCCCAGGCGGGTCTCAAACCCGCGGGCTCAGGCAATCCACTCACCTCAGCCTCCCAAGGTGCGGGATTACAGGCTGAGCCACCGCGTCCAGCTGACATGAGGCCTTTTCAAGCTGAGCAGCCTTCTCTGTGGACTCAGTTAAAGAGAGGACGATTTGTGTCCCCTTTCCAAGAAGATGATGAGCTGCTTCAGAGACAAACATTCCCCGAATTCCCTTTATTTTGTGCCACGAGGCGCCATCCTCCAGGGGCCAGCTCACTGGGGACTGGCAGACGCCTGTAAACCCCCTGCTTGGACAAACTGGGGTGCATGCACGGAATGGAACATGGCACAGTGGAAGGAAAGAAGAAATGACCAATATGCCCAGCACCCCAGGCCAGGTCCACACGCATGGTGTGGGGGACAGAAGCCGATGCCGGGGCCCCATGACGCTGCTCCAGAATAGGGCTGGAAGGGCAAAATGGCGACAGAAAGGAGCTCTGGCATGGGGGTGTGGGCGAGAGGTGGAGGGAGAGAGACTGCCCGCCAGGTGATGACACAGGGGTGACGAGAATGTCCTCGTCCTGATGCGGTGGCCTCTGTACCACTGTGTACACTCACCGAAACACACTGGAGCGTGCAGTGATCACGCATGGACCTTATCATGGATCACAGCGAGGCTGGTTTTTCTGTTTGATTCGTTTTTTAGTAGGAGTCTCCCTCTGTCACCCAGGCTGGAGTGCCGTGGGAGGATCACGGCTCACCACAGCCTCAACCTCCTGGACTCAGGTGATCCTCTCGCTTCAGCCTCCCAAGTAGCTGGGACTACAGGTACACACCACCACACCTACTAATTTTTTTTTTTACATATTTTGTAGAGACGAGGTCTGGCTGTGTTGCCCAGGCTGGTCTCGAACTCCTGGGCTCAAGCAATCCTCCCACCTCTGCCTCCCTAAGAGCTGGGATAACAGGCGTGAGTCGTTGCACCGGTCTAACAAAGCTGATTTTTTAACAAGCTACTTCTAGCATGATCCATAGAAAATATTACAGACCAAGTTCAAGAAACCATGAGCTGACTGAAAGGGAACAAAACAGGTCGCCCAGCCTTCCCGCCCAGGCGTCCCCGCAAGCCTTACCTGGGGCAGTGGGTCACTGGCTTTTCAAACGGGCAGAGCTGGGCCACCGTGGTGTAGCAGTCCAAGTCCTGCACTGTGAATGGAGACACGGAGGGGGAGGGTCAGGCACTGGCAAGCCCGGACCTCGGGCATCCCTCCGGGGAGGTGAACCACTGGGCGGCCGGGCCCCCTGTGCTCACGGGCTCTTGAGCAGAGCCAGGTCAGACCCCAGCAAACTCCAGGGACCCCCTCCCGTGAGGCCAGCAAACTCCAGGGACCCCCTCCCGTGAGGCCATTTAGCGATGAGACAGAAACCACAGCCCCAGCCCAGTGTGTCTGCAGGTCGGGGGCATCGCCACCCGCGGTTTCTCGTGGAGAGGCTAGTATCCTCTGCGTGAATAGCACCTTTTGGTTTTGAAGCTGTTCCTTCTCGATCACCCTTGGCCCTCATGGCAGGGGTTGTCCAAGTTCACAGATGAGGACACTGAAACTCTGAGGCGCCAAGAGCGCACCCCCCCCCCAGGCCTCCCTGGACGGGTCGGAGCCCAGGCTTCCACTTCCTAGTCTAGGGCTCTTCCCACCGGCCCCCGCCTCCGGCTTCGAGTCCACACAGGGTCCACCCAACCTGGGGGTGAGGGACTCTTTCCCTCAAGGCCACTTGTGTTTAAACCGCAGATGTCAGAAAAGGGCTGTGACACGGCCTCCTGTGGTCTCTGACAGCCTGTCCCGATTTAGTCCTGGGCAGGGCAAGCGTCTTCTTAGAGAGTAAATGGCTTTGCGGGCCCTATGGCCGGCGTCAAGACTACTCGGTGCTGCTGCTGCCACAGAAGCGGCCACGGATGACGTGAAACGACAGGGCGTGGCTGTGACCCCGTGAAACCTCATCTACGACGCCCGGCAGCGGGTGGGATGGGGCCTCAGCCTTGGTGTGTCGACCCTGGCCCAGTCCGTCACTCGGCTAGCGGGCGGGTCTGCGCAGCTATCCAGCAAAGGGGACAGCTTAGCACAGCAAGGGATGGTTAGTTGATGGCATTCTGGGGACATTAGGTTTAGGGGGACACTTAAAGCGCTGGAATAGCCAGGCTCGGTGGCTCAGCCTGTAATCCCACGCCTTTGGGAGGCTGAGGTGAGTGGATTGCCTGAGCCCGTGGGTTCGAGACCCGCCTGGGCA